GAGAAGAGATGGTGGTAATGTCACTTAATAAAAGGTCCTAATGTAAAGGGTGCAAATCCCACCACAACAGGGAGTGAAATTTGAATTCAATAAAAAAAACTGGATTAATGACCATTCTAATTGTTGTAAAATCCTAATTGGTTCAATAAAGTCCTTTAGGTAAGGAACTCTGCCATCCTTATCTGGTCTAGCCCACGTGAGCCCAGATCCAGAGTAATTTGGTTGACTCCTAACTGCATTCTAACCAATTATGGATGGGCAATAAATAGTGGCCCAACAAGTAATGCCCACATTCCAGGAACAAATAAAAAATTCTTGGGGGTCACCATTGACCAAACATTCAAGCAGAGCATCCACATTAATTCCAAGGCAACTATGGTAGGTCAATAGCTGGGTATCATGCGGCAAGTGGCTCAACTCTTTACTTCTCAAACTTTCTCTGCTCTCTACAAGTTAGGAAGCAATTGCACCCGTTCAAACAACTCAAGATCATCCATGACCAAGGAATGTGCTTGATATTACCAGGTTTTCATCTTAAACATTCATTCCAACAACAGTGGTTGCAGTGTGAGCAACCTACAAAATACACTGTAATGAGTTGGGAAAGCTTCCTTCACAGCTACTCTCAAACCTGTGACTTAAACCATCTCGGGGGGGCAAAGGCAGCGGAGAGCAATATCTCCAGGATTCCCTCAATGTCACAGACTAACCAAACATTGATACATTTCTTATCCTACAGTGTCACTGGGTCAAATTCCTGAAACTCACTATCCAACACCATTGTGGAAATACATTTAGCTCATGGACTGCAGTAATTTAAGAAGAAGGACCATCAATTTGCAAGGACAATCCAGAATGAATAATAAGTACTGGCCTTGAAAAATGAATATGCTTTAAGGCAGAGATTCACACAAATTAAATGTGATGTTCTTGTGAATTTAATGCATGACCTCCCATACAAATAACGGAGTATAGTTTAATCTCCAGCATTCCTGTTGCATAGCTTCACACTACAGTAAAACAGATTAAGATTCAGGTCATCTGCTGTTGTGACTTTCTGTCCCCTGCAATAATTGGACCAAATCATAGGAGGCAGATATGAAAATTCCCACATACTCTTCCAGTACAGATCATTGCAGTGCTGAAAACAAAAGTATTATCTCATACATTATGCGTGTTTCAAGTCAAATACTGTCCCAATGGTTCTGCAAATTCTGGTATTGCTGATAGAGTTTGTTCATTTCTTGCTTTGCAGCTTCAGTTATGGGGCATAGAGATTGAGATGAATATTGACTTGATAACGATGTTTGCATGGCAGTTTTATTAACGATAATTAATGAATGGACTATCTAATCCTATCTCTTGTAATTAAGGTTCAGTATCGATCTAATACCTATAAATCTTGTACAACCTACAGAATGGTCCTGTACGGTGAAATCACAACGAGTCAAATTTGGATAACCTCCTTTGTGGTGAATTTGTCAGCTATTCCTACCAACAGAACAGGAAATCAAAACAGAATGATTTTGTAAGTTTGTCTCCGACAGGCTGGTTTACTTGTATGTTACCTCCCATAACATAAAAACTGGACATGGATGTTATGATATTGAAGGATTCAATAGACTTAGTTATTAAAACTAAGTATTATGCACCAACATCACATTAGCTGGGCACATAAGTGTCCAAGCTAATGTTAAACTTTTAGAATACATCAGAGGAGCATTCTTCAAGTAGAGAACCAAGCTTCTGAATCAAGGTAAGATAGAGAATGAGACTTTGAGACTGTACCGATACAGGCAATCACACCATAATGATATCATAAGCATTTCTCTGCAAAGTACGTTGACATACTGACTGTGAGACCGAACAAATCGTACTTGTGATAAACCAAAGATCTAGGCTCTTAACAGTGGATTAAGCAAAGTCATGCACACTTGTCGTATGATCGCACTAACTAATTGGAGTGGAGTTAGGCCACATTACAGCATGAAGTCATGGGCAAGCCTGTAGTGATGAATGCAAAATGTTCTTGGTCAAGTCCTGAATGTATACATACTAAGAAAATTTTTTATTGCACTGCAAACCAGCTTATTTCACCAAAAATTGCCAGCTCACTCTTTAATTTTTAAGAATGATTTGTACAATGGTAGAAAGCAAAGCAAGGAATGCCTCACTCTCATGGCCCATGCTGATATTAATGGCAGCAATAAGTGCTGCATCTTGTAATAGGAAAATCCATCAAGATACCTTGCTTTGCTGCTGTAAAGAGATTACCCACAGAGTACGAGACCAACAAAACTGCCTGAATGACCTCAATGACCTACTGGGTATTAAGAAATTAAATAAAACATTTTAGTCAAGGAAAATGAATATTATTATCGTGTTGACCCTGAAGCAGCTGACAAATTCCCACTCTCTCACCGGTCTGTTTCCCTAGCAAAAGCCACAAAGGCTGTATGGATGCTCCATGAATTGACACTGTAAAAATAATTCATTTTATATTGATACCATGGTGGCCAAAATGTTGAATCATTTCAAGGAGTTAGATAAACATCGCACTTGAGGCTAAAGGGATCAAAGGATATGGAGGAAATTGAGTTGGATGATCAGCCATGACCATATGAATAATGTTGTAGGTTCCAACGGCCAAATGGCCCACTGCTGCCCTTATTTTCCATGTTTTATGAACAACAGGTCAGAAGGCAGTTACAAACGTTTTTAAGAATATTGATCAACAGTAGTCTGTCCTGCCAGGTTTGATTTTTGCTAGACTCTGAAAAAGATCCATTTCCTTACATATTTAAATCAGGACCCAGTGGTAGGGCCCTGGCACAACTTTCCATTCCAAATGAGGCATACTTGGGCCTCCAGGAGCCAAGGTAGATCCTTTCAAAGGAACAGCTAGAGGTCATTCTGGAAATATTGCAATAACTTTCCAAATGATATTTGTGGAATCAGGAATAGCATTCTTTCTCTATCAGCCCCTTTTGCCAATTTTTGCGTTTTTTTCTTTTCCCTCCCCTTAAATGAATACATCTGGTATGATTCCAAGGTGAGTACAATTACAACATTTAAAATACATTTGGACAGGTACATGAATAGGAAAGGTTTAGATGGAAATGGGCTAAACGCAGGCAAATGGGACAATGGGACATGTTCAGATTAAGAAATCTGGTCAGCATAGATGAGTTGAACCGAAGGGTCTGTTTCCGTGCTGTATGTCTCTATGGCTTTAAGTAACTGCCTCCTTTCCTGTTTTAAAAGCCCATCTGTAGACAGAAAACAATGCCAGCTTTCAATCATATTCAAATTATCATTTTCATGGCAAGTTATCAGACCTCTTGATAGCGCAGATTTACATTTGATGACATTATCAAGTAAGAAAGAGTCTGATCCACTGGAAATATACATAAAACTAAAAATGCCAAACTTTTATGTCAAACATCTTTCTCAAAAGTGATTCCTGACAATTACTCATGAACCCAATGTTTAAAATCAAAAAATCATTTCAAAGCAGTCCTGCTGTTAAGAACAGCAACTGGAAGCACTTATACTTATAAATAAGTACCAGGTTGAATATGCAAAATTCTCAGTATGAAATATGATGGGTGCAAAATATTTGATTAAAAAAGCTTAACAGCTAATAAAAAAAGGACCTATTTAATATGCTTTGAGTTCATGTCTTTTTTTGGAGGAAGTTAATATGTAGCAGCAAGGCCATAAAACTGTTTGAAAATTCAGTGTAGTTCAGTGTGTCTGCAGCACTAAGCCAAAATACTTCATAGGTTGAATTGATAACATATTATAAAAATGATATTACGATATATATTGAAAGTTACAAAAATCTACTAGTCACCTTGAGTTAACCTTAGCCAGAGAATTGCCTGCAGTTGATTCACTTCTTGCTAATGCAACAGTATGTCTGAGGTTCCCCATAGAGGCATCCTTGATTTTCTTCTAGACCCATCATTATGAAGTCCTCCAAAAACAGTGCCATTTTTAACATACACACTAACAGTACACAGGTCTACCTGACCTCTACTTTTTTTGACTCCTCTATTACGTTTAAACAACCTAACAGCCTGTTCAACAGCCAGTATTGGATAAGCAGAAATTTCCTCCAACTAAAATGTTGGGAAAACAGAAGCCATTGACTTCAATCCCTCTCATAACAACGATCTCCTTCCACCAATTCTATTCCTCTCTCGGATAATTGTCCAAATTTGAACCAGGTTTTTTGTTTTGTATCAGAACTGACAGTGAGCTTCCTAACACATATCCACACCATTGCTAAGACTGCCTATTTACAGCTCCATAACATTATCCAAGTCAATCCTTTCTTCAGCATATCTGCTGCTGAAACCTTCAGTAATGTTTTTGTTGCCTCCGGATTTGATTATTCATATCTGGCCTACCCATATTCCACCATCCATAAACATTGTGGTAATTTTAAACTCTATTGTCTATGTCCTTACACTCACCAAGTCCTACTCAACCATCTTCTCATTGCTTCTTGAATTACAACAGTTTCCGGTTAAGCAGCAGTTCAATTTTAAAACTCTTATTCTTGTTATGAATCTCTTCATTGCCTCACTCCTCCCTGCCTCTGTAATCTCCTTGAGCACCCCTCCCCTCCAATATTTCGGTGCTCTGTCAATTCCAGACTTCCCACTTTTAACTACTCCCCCATTAGCGGCTGTGCCTTCAGTAGTCAAGACCACAAGCTCTTGAATTCCCACCCTAAGTGCTTCCCCTACTCCCCATATCTCTTTCATCCTTCAAGATACTACTTACAACCTCTTTTGATTCTGATAATTTGGCTGAATATCTCATTTGGTGGTTCGTTGTCATATTTTGTTTTCATTGCTCCTGTAAAGTACCTTGAAATATTTTCCTGTGTTAAAGATGCTGCATAATTACAAACTGTTTTTTAAAATTTTAGTTTTCAATATTACCTATATGGTTATTTGCACTTAACAGCAATCAGGTAGTAAACCAACCTTTCTATGCGTATCAATTACTGTGTATCCTCCATGTCTGATACATGATTCTCATTCTGAAAGTAACAGAATAAACAGAATTCATTAGCCAAGATGAAGAAAGTAAACAGAGAAGCATCATTTGTAATAGGGAAGGCAAATTTATTTAACAAGTGATCAATCATCTTCACTTTTTAGACTGGTTACAAAATACCACAATTATTTCTGCTGTTGTTTTTATTGTTATTTAAACAATTCATTGCAATAACAGAGAAATGACTGGAAGGAAAAGAGAATAAATCTGATAGGGACATGGAACTAAATTAACAGCCACAGTTGAAATGATCAGGTTTTGACATATTTAGTTGCCTTTATTGCTTTGAGGATCTGATTTCAATTGCTTGATGGTGAAAAAGTCCAGCACTTGTCTGTCTTTACGTACAGTGACATTTTGAAAGTGCCAAGAACATAACCAAATCATCTCAGTAGGTGTTTATAAACAGAGGAAAATATTTTTGTAACAACCCTGCTGCATAATGGTTTTATTGCTGAAAAATGTTTTTGTTGCTCACTCGTCACTATACTGATAACTGCTACTTGCCAAAATTTTATAGCATAAACCTTTGTCTTAGCCAAGGGGTTGTGGCAAAATTAATTCAGTAGAAGTTCCATTCCTGTGTGATACTATGTCATTATAATAATCCATTACTTTTAATTAATCTTTAGAAATACATTGTTCATCCTGTAATGTAGACCATTTTCAAAATTGTAAATTAAGTGGAATATTAAATAATTTTCAAATGTTATAATTTCAGAGCGTACATTTAAAACCTGCTCATGTGTGCCAAGTTCAACACAGCAGTAAAACAGATTATTTAGTTTAATATGCTGTGCACGAATACCACCTAATTAGACAAAGTGGAGATCTGTACTTGTGCACTTAAAAACATTCACCAAGCTCCTCTCACTGGCCTCTGAATGCTGTTAGCACTTTCAATGCTACAAGAAAACAATGAAAAGCGAAAAGGCAATCCAGCAGATCAGTATTCCTTTTTGGTAACTGTTAAGTTTGAAAAGTTGGCTTCATTCCACCTTCCACATTTCCAGATGGTCCCATGTCCAATGAAAAAAAAGCTTTTGAAAGAAGGGTGCATGAAGAAGCTGTGCCAGACAGCTGCTGTTGAAACCTCCTTACTTTTGATTTTGTAGTCCTCTTTCCTCTATCCCTTGATCGGTTAGATTGATTGTACAGGAAGTGCAAGTTTTCATTTCTCATGCGTGCCAAAGAAATAATTCTATTTGTTTCATACCTAACTGAAAGAAAATCTTCCAGCATCATGGGAATAAAAAATTCTAACTTAACTTTGTACAAAATATTTAAACTTTTGTAGAGTTTTTACAGGGGTAACTTACATTAGCGCCAGCTCTTGTGGCTGCCTCTGAACTCCCCAAGAAAAAGGCAATACTTAAAACAATAAAAAAGATTTTACTATCTGACCACTCAAAATTATATTGTTCAACATAGGTAACAATAATGCAAATGCCACAGTGACGTACTGACAATCATGAGTACCTTCTGCTTCACAGTATTTTCACATAAATCTTAAGAGTGGTGACATCAGATTTGCAAATGGAATAATTAAGGAAGTAATTATGCGGTCTTGCACGAAGATTCCTATCATACTGCTTGTTAACTCATGTAGATCATACCATCTCATTGCTGCCATCCTCATCGTAATCTTCCTCTACCCCATCAGTCATCTCTTCCCCATCTCCATCAACATCAGGGCCCCCTTCCACTTGTTCCTCCGTGGAAGTTTCTGCATTTTCCGATATGGATTCCTCATGTGCAGACTCTGAATTTTCTTCAAGCTGCTTCTTCTGTGACTCTATGGAAAAGGCACAGAATCATCACCTCTTCTACCCCTCAGATTCTCAGAAGATGCGTCAATGGAATAGATAACGGAGTAAAAAGACAGATGGTATGTTGTTGGAATTTATCTTGAGTCTAGATGCATTGATATCTAAGATCTACATCAAATAATCAGGATTACATTGTAGTATTACAAAGTATTCACAGCCTGTATTAGGCCATTTACCCAAATGGTCTATGCCTGTGGTTAAGCTACGCATGAACCCCTCCACCTAAATTCATCCAATATTATCAGTATGTCCTTCTGTTTCCTTCTCTATCAGATACCAATTTTAGCTTCCCCTTAAATGCATCAATGCTATCTGCCTCATCGCTTTCACGTGATACTGAATCCCAGGGTCAAAGTTATTCCATATTCCAGTGGCAAAGAAACAAAGCTGATATCTAATTCTTTTTCCAGTTTATTTCACAGGGTCACTGTGTTGATACGCATTAGATCTGCAGTGGTTCTCCATTCTAACATGGAAACAATCTGCAGAATACATTAAAAAGTTTTTGCATCAGAGAAGCTTTAATTTTTGTTGTTAGGAAGAACTTCCCAGAGATTTTTGTGGGGGGCAGACATGAAGATTTTTTTAGATAGGTGACTGTAAGATAATTCGATTCAATTGACAGAATATAAGTGAGCATTTAAGTTGGTTGAGCAGATGTTTATAGTGCAATTAGAGTAACAATGAGCAGCAATAGTTCAATAAATGCTGGTAACATTACAGTAAATTGTACTGAGGCTGCAGTTCTTTGTATAACTTCAGAGATGCATACATAATTGATCTGTGTCACTGGAAGCAACAAGATAAAGGGGTGAACTTCATGCTGCCTATTGCAGGTTAGACGATGGCAGACAGTCTCACTGATGCCTGGTAGCGGCAATACCTTGTTAGATGGTGGAAGCGGCTGATGTGGGATGCCTGACCACCGCTCGCAGGAAATTAATCGTCCTCATGGGGCAAGCCTTATTGTCATTCCAATAGCCTTTTTGGATGTGGATGGGGATGGGGGAGGGGGTGGGGTCATTATTGCTCATTATCAGGCACTGACTGCGTAGTATGGGGAGACAGTGGTGTAGCGGTAATGTCACTGGGCTAGTTATCCAGAACACCAGGATAATACTCGAGGGACATGTCTTCAAATCCTGCTATGGCAGATGGTAAACTTGACTTCAGCAAAACCAAAAGCCTGGAATTAGAAGCAAGCCTAATGGCGACCATTTTCGATTGTGTAAAAACCCAACTGGTTCACTATTACACTTTAGGGAAGTAAATCAGTTATCCTTACTTGGTCTGCTCCATGTATGACTCCAGGCCAACAGCTATCTGGTCTTAACTGTCCTCTGAAATGGCCCTGGCAAGTCACTCAGATCAAGGGGCAATTAGGGAAGGGCATTAAAGACTGCCCCAGCCAGGAATGTCCACATCCCATTAATGAAGAGACAAAAAATTTTGAGGCTCCTGCATCAGAAAAGGAGGGATCACTGAAAGGCAGCCACCTGCCCTTAACTTCAATTGTCCAATGCCCTTTCTCCTGTGACCTCTCATCCGACCCACAACAGCCAATTTGTCCTCATTCAGTACTAGCCCGGGTCTCTCACTGCTGGGTGCATTGTTGGCACCTACCACCACTCTCACTGGCATACACCGGCAATGGAAGGCTGCCAGCTGTCGGGGAAGTGGGACTTGTTTTGCCACCAGGGTTCTGAATCCCTGGGATGATCTGAAGGTGTCCATTGAAATGCCTAAAGGGTATATCAATCTTGCTGCACCTCTCACCGATTGAACTGAAAGAATTCAATGCTGTTTTTCTCACTGATGCGTAAGAAACCCATTAGCCAGACTAAATTCAGCCTAATAATTATAAAAGTGAGAAACAATTCCTTGCATGAACACCCTAATCACTATAAATGAAAAATGAAAAATCCTTAGTTGGTTGCATACAATAGATAATTCTAAGTCTGGACCATTTTGAATGCTCGAAGGTCTTTTTAAAATATATGTATATTACATCTACTATATTACCCTCATTTATTATCTTCCTTTTTATATAAACAATCATATTTCCATATATGCTGCCGTGACTTACATAATATATAGGTTGAGTTGGAGATATCTAGAATTGTCTGACATTGGGATGATTTTACAGCTTGACAAATTACGTAGTAGCTGAATGTAATCAGTTGGATGCTAAGTCTGAACAAAACCTTAAGGTTATTCAGTTGTATTCATTGGTCTGATCACAATCATTTTAATTCTAGTGGAAATAATAATCTATCTCAAAGGCCGAAGGAAGAAACTTTTGTTTTGTGTCCAAATGTTATGCCATATTCAGAGTTCAAAACATGTTTCAGCCCCAATGCCTGCTGATGTAAAGAGTCTAAAGTTGTTCTGGAGGGTCTTTTTTTATTGTTAAGGTGGGCTCCTGGGATTGTGGTATTTGGAGTTTGATGAATGTTCGGCATATGCAATAGAAGCAGCTTATGCATCGGTAGCTTGACAGATGGTGCAGTACTTAAGCTCGTTCTCTGTCTTCATCGTGCCTCGGAGCTTAAAGACTGGATAGAGATTATAGAAATGTGATCTGTCTTTGGTGATAGGAAAACATAAGGTGATGTGTTGTGGCTGAACAAGGAATTAGAAGGATGATCTGCAGAGTCATCATTCAGCTCATTTGTTACTCAAAATTTGCCTCTGTTCTCACTACTGGCAACCATCAACAATTAAAAATATACAGACACACATTGTTAATCCTTAAAGTAAGTGAGGCCAGAGGATCTGTGATTAGGAATTTCATCAGAATTTAAAAGCAGTTACAAAAACAATGCATTAGCTTCTGATAGTTGGCTCAAAAGGAAACAAGTTCTCTTGCCAATTTAATGCAATTTATCACTACTTAAAACATTGTTCTGATCAACCAGATACTTGTGGATGTGCATCTTACATTGTCAGAGCGTGTTGAAAGGAACCAAAGATGGATGTTTGAGAAAAAAATGTTAATGTAATATATTCTGTGATGATCCAGAGTTTCAGGTAAGCAGTACATATACCCATCACTCTCACACAACATTAGGAATTCAATTTAAAGAGTAGCAGGTATGCTTAAACATTAGCTAGATTTATTCCTATTTCAAAACAATTTTATTCAGAAATAAACATTTCTGAAGCATGACGTTCTGTTTTGCAAGTTCAATTATTGCCTTTTAGACGTGATGCTCAATTGAGGCCCTGTCTACCCTCACAGGTGGGCATCAAATTCCCATGAAGCAGTTCAAAGATGAGCAAGAAGATCCTCTTTGATGTCTTAGCCAGTACTTATTCGCTTAACCAAAACCACTAAAAGAACATTATCTTACTGTTGTTGGCAGGATCTTGCTTTGCCTAAATTATCTGTCATGTTTCCGACATTACAAAAGTCAACATATATCGAATAGTACTTCTTTGACTGTGGAATGCTTTGGGTAGTCCTGACATTGTTAAAGGTGCTATATAATTGTATGCTTTTTCTTTCCTCTGTGTGTTCTTCAAAGTCAGGGCTCAAATGTCCATGGCGGAGGATAAATGAACTAGGCCAGTAGCAAATTATTTTAGGTCCTATCAGCAGTTTTCAGTGAGGTCTTTCTTGATGTGAAAGCTGGGACCAAATAAACAAGGTTAAATGGGCTATGTCATCTAGCTACCAATTTGCCAGGTAAAAAATAGCATTTTTCCTTATTTATCTTGCTAAGGCTAAAATTTTCAACATCTTTGCCATGTCTTCTCTTAACATTAGCTGCTTTTTTCAAAAATAAACTTCTGTTCATAGTTAATATTTGATTAGTCTCTAATCAGAGTTGATCATCTCTGATATTATTTTATTAACCCTCAATGGACTCCGAAATCCTTCCTAAATTAGGAAACCCAAAAATAGACATGCAGTGTTCAGATAAGTAAATCATTCAATAACCATCCTCTCAATTTGGGGTTGTCAATCTTCTAGGATTGGTCTAGAGTCCCCAAGAACAAAGATTAATCTTCAGGATACTCCACAACAACCCTGGAGTAAAATCACCAGTCAATAAAAACAAAGAGATAACAAGGTGTAGAGCTGGATGAACACAGCAGGTCAAGCAGCATCAAAGGAGCAGGAAGGCTGACGTTTCGGGCCTAGACCCTTCTTCAGAAATGGGGAAAGGGGTTCTGAAATAAATAGGGAGAGAGGGAGAGGCGGATAGAAGATAGATAGAGGAGAAGATAGGTGGAGAGGAGCCAGACAGGTCAAAGAGGCGGGGATGGAGCCAGTAAAGGTGAGTGTAGGTGGGGAGTTAGGGAGGAGATAGGTCAGTCCAGGGAGGACGGACAGGTCAAGGGGGCAGGATGAGGTTAGTAGGTAGGACATGGGGGTGGGGCTTGAGGTGGGAGGAGGGGATAGGTGGGAGGAAGGACAGGTTAGGGAGGTGGGGACGACCTGGGCTGGTTTTGGGATGTGGTAGGGGGAGGGGAGATTTTGAAGCTTGTGAAGTCCACATTGATACCATTGGGCTGCAGGGTTCCCAAGTGGAATATAAGTTTCTGTTCCTGCAACCTTCGGGTAGCATCGTTGTGGCACTGCACGAGGCCCAGGATGGACATGTTGTCTGAGGAATGGGAGGGGGAATTGAAATGGTTCGCGACTGGGAGGTGCAGTTGTTTAGCGCAAACTAAGCGTAGGTATTCTGCAAAGCGGTCCCCAACCCTTCGCTTGGTTTCCCCGATGTAGAGGAGGCCACAACGGGAACAGCAGATGCAGTATACCACATTAGCAGATGTGCAGGTGAACATCTGTTTGATGTGGAAAGTCTTCTCGGGCTTTGCACTTTCTTCAAATAATTGTGTACTGCTCAGAAAATATTGAACATGAGATTCTCGAATTAGCCCAATTACATAAATTTCCATTGCGCAAAAGATAGTGATATGTCATTAGGATGGACGTATTGGGTGACAAAATGTA